GATAGAGGGTATTTGTAATAATTATTTTATTATTATTTGACTTATACATAATTTGTTCTTATACTTGTTGGAGTATCTCATCTATAATAAATATTCCAGCTAGTGACAAACGTGAAGGATTACAGCCAAATGATGCTTGTCCAAAGTTTTGACAAGCTGTAAGTCTCGAAATTCAATTAACTCGCAAAAACTTTTCACTCAGCCGCAATTTCTTTTCTCAGGCGCTGCTCGGCAACATTACCGATTAACAGCATTTCAATTACAATGTGTGATTAAGACATCAAGGCTTTACTTGTCCCAGCTGCTCCATTGGCTTCCATATATACGTATATATATATATATATATATATATATATATATATATATGTATCTATAGCTAATGCCAGCCAAACCACCAAAACGCAAATCCCCAAACTCGAAGCGGCAGTCAGGCCAAAGACAGGAGGGTGGCGGGTGGCCTGAAATGGATTTTAGTGGGTTATGGCTTGGGTTTTGTGGTTCAGCTTGAAGTAGGCAGCGATTGCTGAACCCACACACACACACACATGCGCACACACACTCACGGTCATATATATATGTATCTGTAGAGCTGTCATTAGTTGCTGTCACTTTGCTGGCAGCACACTCCCTTCGTCTCTGGCCTCTCCGTCTCTGGCTCATGTCACTTTGCCGTTGTCACACCTACACGCCCCTATTACCAACGCCCACCCCGACCTGCTTGTGGTAGCTCGCACAATTCCCGGCTGACAATAATGTTTTTGTGCCCAGCTTAAATACATTAAAGCCTTCGCTGTCTGCGATACAACATGGCAAATGATGGGCAAACACACACACACACACACACACACACAAACACAGAGAGAGAGAGCTAGAACTGCGTGGCAGGCACTTAAAGCGGGATGAGGGTCCTTCAGAGGCTTTTACATTTGCCCGGAACGCTTTGCCCAGCTGATTAGCAATTTTGCTCACGTGGTGCTATTTGTTGGCTTCAAGGGTGGGCTGTGCGGGTGCGGGGAATGTGTGATAGAGGGATGGAAAGGGGTGGTGGGGGGGGGGGGGGGGGGGGGGGGGGGAGGGAGGGAAGTGTTGACTGCCCTGTTTGAGCATTGCTTTGGCCGCTCTTTGCAAAATTTATTTGTGCGGCGCAAATTTACATCTTTTATATAAACTTATTCAATGCAAACTTTTCACGACTTTTCGCAAATTTTCTTAAGCCATTTTGGCATTTGTCCGGCTGCCCGCCGCTTGTAGCTAGCTCACAAGTGGCAGCCCTCAAGTGTTTTTAAGCAAATCCTTTGCGTAATTACTTTGCACAGCCACACAAATCCCAAGCCCAGCCACGACCGCCTGCCCTTAATAGATTTGTCCCCGGGGTTTAGGCTGAAGCCAAGCGCAAAGGCATTTAAATTCCGGCAGCAGCCGTATTTGTGTTTTATAATGTTTTTATTTAACTGCTGACTGTTTAAATATTTTATTTTTGCTCTTTTTGGATTTTACACACACTCGCTTAGACAACACGCATACGCCATGTGTGTGTCTGTGTGTGTGGATACTTATTGTGTTGCGCCTAAAAGATGCAGCAAAAAATTTCCGCTTCCGTTTGGCAAAAAATCACATAAATTTTATGAAATGCCAGCACACAAAACTCTCTCACACACATGGCAAAAGCTGTAAAACTAACCGCAAAAAAGGAACACACACCACAACAACAACTCAATTTACAACAAGAACAACAACAAGGCGTGGTAAATCAACGGAATATTTCAAATATGGTCATGCACAGGCGCCTAAGCAAAATGCACACATGTTCATGGACACGCCCCTAGTTGCCTACACTCAACTCTACACATATCATGGGCACACACCCCCACATACACACACACACGCGCACACACACAGACACACTCCACAGGTTGACAATAAAACGTTGGTCGTAATAATAAACTAATAGTGCCCCAGCTGCCAAGAAATGCTCGACTGTCTTTGTCCTACTCAAACTACACTGCTGCGCACATAATATATATATATAAATATGCATTTATGTACAGAAATATACATACATACATATATACATAAGAATATTATGTGTAGGCAGAGCTGTGCTCATAAAGAGTATATTCATGTAAGCGGGATATTGCAGACTTTATGTTTTACAGAGAGAGACAGGGAGAGAGAGAGAGAGAGGGAGGAAGGGAGAGGAAACAGAGAGAGCGAGAGACAGCGAGAGAGAGGGAAAGAAAGAATATGGTATTGTTGTGATTGCTAAAGATATGCAGTTAATACATCAGAATTCATATTCTATGTTAATACGAGCTTAACAGATTATGTTAATAACAGAAGATCAAGTATCCTTACATATTCATATATGTACATAACAAAATGCACATTTTATGGTAATGAGCATTTAACAGCTTATATTAATAACAGAACAACAAGTATCCTGTTAAGTTTAAGTGCTAAACACTTTACCATAGCGCTTCTAACTGAACTCAATGCCATATATTTATGTAGAGGCAATAGGAGAAAACTAATGAATTTACAATAATATACAATATGTCTTAACAGAAATATTTTATTTTTATTCTTTTGATAATAATTTTAAGCTAAAATATTGTACAAACTTAGCTCAGTTTCTATATATGTCATGCGATCTATGCAATGTGAGTCATATCTCGTAAGAAAGAGTATTTAAACTTCGTTTCATCACGCACACACACACACTTACATACTTGAACATGTGTGTATCTCTTTGTGTAACCGCATTTGCCACTGACATGTTTGCACACACATAGAGAAACTTTTACGTGTGCACAGTCCTTGCATATTTTCACACCAGCTTAAGCAAACAGGCCCAAGCATCACACTAGCTTCCTCAGCTACAAATCTTACTACAACACAGCACCCTTCCCCCTCCTCCCCCACTGCAAATAATGGCTGGCTAATGGGCTTTCCAACTCCGAAGTCTTTAATACAGCTGACCTCGCCGTCGATTGGGTGATTAACTTTTTGGGCAACATGGGAAAAACATCTGCCCGCAAGCAGGCAGTCAGGTGGTGGAGCAGGGGAAGGGGGGGGGGGGTTTATTTGGCGTAATTAAATTGTTAACGCACACGTGTCGACTGTGCGCTGAGTTGGCTTTGCCGTATTTATGCATGTGCATGGGTTCATTTAAGCGTAATGCTTTTTACGTTGACAAATGTGGCAGCAGCAGCAGCGGCAGCAGCAGCAACATCCACGCTAATCCAACCAAAGCCAAGCCGTGAGTGGGATGGCGGAGTACCAGAAAGCCATGGCAACAACAGCCAGCGCTTAAACCTTAATCCCAAACCCCAACACCAACCCATTCCCATTCCCAGTTCCAGTCCCAGTCCCGATGCCAGTTCACTTTGCATGGCTTACGCCCTTGGCTGGTGTTTTTAATGCTTCATTGGCTTAATTGCCAACCAACAGCAGGCGCACATATAGATACGCACTCGCACACACACACAAACACACACACACACACACATACACACTCGCACACACACACACACGCAGACCGAGCATGTACGCAACTTTTACCCGGCGAAAATGAATTCAACCACAAACACGTTCATTTACCTTTTATAGATACAGATACACAACGCCCAACTCGACTCGGATGGATGTTCGCCTTGCTAAGCATTTCCAACTTTAAAATTGTGTGCTTTAATACATGTTGCTGCTCTTGTAACATTAAATGTGTGCAAAAGTTCCTTGTAATACCCCGTAAGAGAAAAATAATGGGCATTTATAATGTGAATAGTTCCTCTTTTGTCAAACTTATGCATCTCGAGAACTATAGGCTCTACAGACGTCAAATTTCGTATACAGACTAGCGTTGGCTTATTGAAACATTTAAAAAACAAACCTGCTTCCCTTCATGCAAAAAAACAGAGTTACAGTGAGAACTAGCTTGTTAATAGAGGCTAATAGAGAGAGAAATGAATATGGCCGTTCAAGAGGGGGATTCTACACTATAACAGTTAGGAGTTAAAATAGTTAGGACAGTTTATATTCTATTTACTCAGACTTCACAGACGATGTAAACATTTTTCTTTAAAGCACAGGAAAATGGTGTACAGGCCTTTGCAGGATAGTTCTTAGCCTCCAATCTAGTTAGCTTAGCTTAGTTGTATCTACAATGTATTTATTCAATAAAAACATTTAAATTTCATTTGAATTTACGCTGCATTTGCATTTGACTAACGTGTACTTCTGTACTTGTGCATATATACGTTTGTGTATCTGTCAGATGCATTTAGTCTAACTAACTGAGCTTACGGACTGTGCCCCACTCAGCCAGCCGATGCCTTTAGCTGTCTGGGCACGGGATCAAGTGAGTTCAGCGCATTATATAAGCCCATACTGAGTAAAATGCCCTGTGCATGAATGAATGGAATTTGCAAAAAAATAAGCGCCGAACTCGCGTATACCCTAACCAATCAGTTGAGCTTTAGTTTTATGAATAGCATGGAATATCTGTGGAAAATACTTGGGAGCATTACATGAGTATATAATAATAAGTAAAGCTGGAAGACTGGTTTGTTTAAGTGAGCACTAGACAAGAAGGTTGCTGGTTCAAATCCTAACTTATCTTGGTATCTTAGCTAGATTTAATCTAGTCAAATTTGCACTTATCTACGCTTCTCACTCATGCCTCAAGCACATGGGAAAAATGGTATTATAACAGTAAAGTCTGCTTTTTATTCTACGTTCGTAAACATTTGCAGGAAATATGATTTACTTTATAAAAAGAGACATAAGTTATGTCGAAACCAAGGCAATTTGTTAACTGATTAGCTCAAAGTAGAACAAAGCCTTAGGCCAGCTGTAAGTCTCGTTTTGCATAGACTTAGCAAGTGCGCATTTGCAAACCATGTTTATCAATAAAAAAATAAAGTATAATAACAATATTATTACAGACAATACTATACGGTTATAGTGGTTGATTAGTCTATAAAAGCGGCTGGTAGACCTTCGCTCACGATCAGTTTCAACAGGCAAGTCGCATTTGGAGCTTATTGCAAACATGAAGTGGTTATCGCTGGCTTTCGTCATGGCTCTGCTCGCATTGGCAAGCGGTAAGTACTAGACAGAGCATCCACTATTTAATGAATTCAAACATAAATGCATTTGCAGCCAATCCGCTGCAGCCGGGCCATGTGATCATCAATGGGGACTGCAAAGTGTGCAACGTGCGCGGCGATTAATAGACTCTCGATTAGGAGAACTTAAATAAATACATAACCAGCTTTTGTTTAATATATGTTTTTATTTCAATAAAAAATAAATTAATGTTTTTATAGATATATTTTTGCAAATTACTTAGGCATTAACATAGTATTCAGCTGTTTGTGGCGAGATTTAAATCCTAGTTTAATTTAGTTGCAACAGCTCTCAACCTCCGTGAACATTGCAGTTGACACAGTGTCCGTTGATAATCACATCGCCAGGCACCAAGGGGGAAGCTGTTTTGAGCAAATTGTTCTATAGTAGAGCATACAGGGAACGGGCAAAACTTTTACTCACCACTGGCCAAGGCCAGGAGACCCAGCACGAACGCAATTGACAAACACCTCATTTTCTTTTTAGTCTGAACGCAATCTCAACCTCAAAGAAACTGAAGGCAGTTCAGTGCAATCTTCTGTTTTTATAGCTCATTTGACAAGTGGGCTATTCCTGGAAGCGTATAATATGCACGACAATAGGTCGATTAAGAGATTGCTTGGAAAAACCCGCGCAATTGAGTATTTCCAAATGATAAGCGACTCGTGCGACATTGATATAGTGCATAAAATTGGGTTTAATGTATAATAATTCAAGACAGCGAAGCCTATGCTAATTTTGACGCGTTTGCACTGTTAGTTAAGGTGTAAATACAATAAACAGGTAAGACTGCTCGATTAGGAGTTACCCTGAACCCAGTTGACGTTACAAATATTTCAGTTACTCGCACACAAGCTACTTTTCCGCATGCAGCGGCATTGCCTACCCTTCCCCTCGTCTCATTCTAGCATACCACAACGTAACTGGGTTGCTTACAGTCCGATCTTAATGAAACTTTCGGGAATCAAGAATAACATAAAAAAGTTCGTGTATACCAAGGCCCAAGGCTTTGCCCTTACAAATTGTGACGCTAGCTCTTATAAGCTCCGACTTGTAAGCAAGAAAACAAATCGGAAAATCGATATTTATCGATAAATGGAAAACGGGCTGAGTTATCAATGATATGTGCGTTCATTAGGATCTATTTGCTCCCAAGATCTCTGAGTTTAAATCGTTTAAAGGCAGACGAATGTTGGGCAAGAATAAAATATACATGCTCTAGAAGAGCCTTCTTCTGCCTATACCATACCTATAAGCACAAATAGTATACCCCTTTTCTATGACCATTTTCAATGAGTACAGACTATTTAACATATTTTAGAAAACATTTAAATCTACGTAATTTATAATGAACATGTATGTTGTTGGAATTAAAAGAGCTTAAGTAGGTAATTCCCATTGGGAAACAGTGTAAGAGAGAGGCAAAGAGAGATGGAGAGAGGGAAAGAGAGAGAGGGTAAACGTATGCTTATAAGGCTTAGATATATATAACCAAACTTGTTGTTGGCCTTTAACTTTGTTAATTATTTATATATACCATTTATGAAATTATTTTTTTCCAAATATGGCTAAAATCTTATAAAAAGAAGCAATTGTTAAATTTTGGAAAAAGACGAAGTTTTTGTCTCTTCACTTTTCCAAGCCTATTTATCGGAAGACCCAAACTCCGACTTAGTTTGCTTTAATATATGCTATCAGCTTTGGGATTTAACAATATATTAATCACACTAGTCATTCGTTTATGCTAGTTACAGCCTCTCGTATGGCTCTCTCAGATCAAGTTCAATAATGTTCACAGTTTGTAGAGAGCGGCTGCTGTGAGATATTCGCCATTGGGCAGACTATAAAAGCGCAGTGCAGAACGTGGTTTACAATCAGTTCGAACTGAATAACATCATGAAGTGGCTATCTGTAGTTTTCGCCTTAGCCGTATTGGCTCTAGCCAGTGGTAAGTAGGACGAGCTGTGGTGTGCCTCAAAGCTGTCAGTCTAACCAATTATGCATTCCATGTACAGCCAACCCTTTGAACCCGGACGTGGTCATCAATGGGGATTGCAAGAAGTGCAACGTGCACGGCGGCTAAAAAACTTGAATATTATAATAAATAAATCAAAATAAACAAATGAATGCACTGTATATACCATGTCTAATTATTTGGCTAAAAATTAGCTGTTATTTGCGAGCACATCTAATTATTGGAATAAAAGCTTAGCAATTTCAATATTTTCACTCAAAGCGACTTTATTTAATTATAAGTTCTATTTATGCAGAAAAACACTTATGAGATAATACAATAGTCCAAAGCCCACAGCACCCGAAGCCAAGGCCTGAGTAGCTGCACCCGCGACTTTTCTGTCTCCTGGAATAATCACCGAATCGTCATCTTCCGGTCGATTACAGTCTATGCACTTGCCATTGATAACTACTTTGCCCGGTGTGGCTGTCGAAAGGAATACATATTAGAGCAACTGTATTCAATTTCCAGAAATCAGTTCAATTACCGCAAACCACAGCCAAAAGGCAGCCCAACAGCAGCAACTGCAATGCAATTGATTTCATATTCACAGCACACTGATCCAAACAATCTGAATACCAGACGTCAATAGCATGCACTTTTATATAGAACAGGTTTCGGGTTCAGATTGAGCGCAACAATCACATCGTAGAGAGACTCAAGTGTTTCGGAATTTCCCAGCTAATTGAACAAAAGCTAATCTCTGCGCATCAGTTCAGTAAACAAAAGTGACGTCAGAAATAGCTCCCATGCTATTTGTAAAGAGAATAATATAAATATTTTAATAAAAAGAATTTTCAATTTTAAAATGAAAATTTTAAAAGATTTGTTGCATCATTTTTAGAACTTAGAACATATATATAGATAATATATCTAAAATAATATAATAATAATTATTATTATTAATAAATAATAATAATAATAATTAATAATATAAAACAAAAATAATATTTATACATTAAAAATATTTTAAAATATTAACAAAAATAATGTAAATTTGTTTATTTGTTAAAAATATATCGAACTATATTAATATATATAATTAATATATTTATATACTCAAAAAAAAAAAGTTTTTTTAAATTATATAATGCATAAAATATAATAAAAATATATTTTCATAGTCGGCAAATTAATTCAAAATACGTATCTAAATAGGTTTAATCAAAACAAATATGTGAAAGAAATTATTTAAATAAAACAAAAACGAACTTCAAAAAAATTGTTTTTAATTTATATAGTGTATAGGTAAATCTTTTGAAAAATTTGTTAGCTATAGCTTCTAGTATAAAGAATTTTATAGATTATTGAAAGTGTATAAAAACAATCTGCGATTGCCTTCTTTATTTACAACAAATTGCTTGAAACTAAAATATTTTCAAAATTCAGCTAAAATAGTGAATTTATTTTTGAAAATATCTCACAAATTTCAAAGTTTTAATAGTTTTTGATATAGGTTTTAAATAGTTAGTATATAGTTTCTGAAATAGTGTTTATATTTGTTTGTATAAAGTGATTATAAAGTTTTTATATAGTATATATATATATATATATATATATATATATATATATAAATATATATATGTATGTATAGTATGTATTTAGTATTTATGTAGATTTTATATAAATTTTCTATAGTTTTCTTTTATATATTGTTTATGTATTATGTAATCATCTTGAGGCAACAATTATTGCTCGAGAATAAAAAATCAGAAGAGTTTTTCATTTAGCTATAAGAATTTATTAAACATTTTGTGGTGATTTTGTGTTTTTTTTTTTGTGTTGTTGTTGTTGTACTTATATTAAATGCATATTAGATGGAAAACATTTTACACTAGAGTATTTGGCTATTGCATTTTGTGGCTGTGGCTGCTCCAGGGATTGGGTTCACGTTCTAGGAACGCACATTGCACACTTTGCAGTCGCCGTTGATGATGACATTGCCAGGACTCAGTGGGTTAGCTAAATGTGCAGTAGAGTCAATTAGCTTTTATTTAGTTGGTGCTCTAGAGTAGTCCAGACTTACCACTAGCCAGCGCCAGGAGACCGAGCAGAAAAGCGAGCGACAGGAATTTCATGTTGACTGATTGTTGTTGTGTTGTTTTGTTTGATTGCTTGGAAGACTCAAGAAGACTGATGCCTTACAACTTGGCCAGCTATGCTTTTATAGCTAAACTGCAACCAGACTCTGAGCTAAATGTGTCTGACCGTTATCAACCGACTGGGGGATACGAACTTGGAATTGGAATTGCCCGGTGCCAGAGGCGAGCGTCAAGTCAAGTTTGAAAAATTTCCCAATTGCGTTGCGGCAATGCGAATCTAGTTGGATTTTTATTATATGGAATATGCACAACACAGAATTACAAGCTGTGTGTGAGAGCGGGACAGAGAGAGAGAGAGGGCAGTATCTATAAACTGGGTTTAATAGTGGTATCGTAAAAGTTGCCAAAGGCGTGTAAATTATTGGATAGAGGGCATAGTCGTACCATGAGCATATATATATATATATATATATATATTCCTGAACAACATGAACAGAGTATTAAGTTAAGTTTTCTCTCTATTAGATTAACAGCAGTATTAAGTACAAAAATAAGTTCAAAATATCTATATTACATATATTTCCAGTATATATATATATAAATATTCCTTATATTTAGTGCTGGTTTTGGCAATATATGAAACTAAATTAATAAGCTCGGACCTCGAGCGAAATAATAAAATTATTATTGTAGATATAAATTTCTGCATTACTGCATATGCTCTTCTGCAGGGTATCTCACAGTCTATCAAACTTTTCTTTCACATTCTAACTTGTTTTATTTGTAATATTTGTTTGCATTTGCGATCGAATTCCCATTTCAATTGCGCCGTCTGAAGCCTGGCGCCCCCCTGTGCTATATGCTAATTAACTTAATTCTTAATACATTTCCGACTAATCGTTAAAACGTGTTTTAATGTTGTTGTTGTTTGGTGTTATTCTTGTTCTTATCGTTGTTGACTTCGGGCTGCATTTGATAAAACAATTAGGCACGTTACTTGGAATTCCGAACTAGTTGAAGCAAACATAATTCCCAAGAATTATGCAAAGCAAATGCAGTTTTATAAATATTAATTATTACTGATAAATAATTTTAAAAGCCAGTTTCATTTAAAGATATGACGTACTTAAGCTGCATATAAATTAAATAATTATTGCAATAGTATGATAGGGAGGAAAATGTTTATAGTTTTATACTAATCGGGCTTCGTTTGACGTATACTTAATATTTTCAATATTACTGTACTGCATATATGGAAATGATATATTTATACAAAACAAGCTAATTGTAATTTTTATAGTCTCATAGATGACACACAGATGGCCAATAATGCTGATAGCATTGTTTATACGCTTTATAAGGCCGGCGCAACCTTTCGTTTGCCGTATTACACAGTTGCATAGCTGAATGATACCCTTTACTCTTCACAACAGGGTATATTAGGCAGTTGAAAGGCATATCTTGCACATTTGGCATTATTATTACAATATATTAACTACCAAGTATTTGTCATATTCTTGAAGTGTAAAGGTAGGGTATTCTCTAGCTGAGCACAACATATTTCATTCATATTTCCTTACTATATTTTAAATATAAAGACAGGGTATTCTCTAACCGAACACCAACGCCTTATGCCGTCTAAGTTGTTGCGATTTTAATGCGATCTATTTATTCAACATGTGCAAAACATATTTTCATATATATATGTATATATATATTTTATTATTTATTTTTACACATTGATTACATTCCATCAATATAGAGCGGGGTCAATAGTTCAAGCTTTTTGCAAATCAGCTCAGGTTCAAATGGTCAAGAGCTGTGTACAATAATCAATTTGAAATATTGACAATTTATATATTGACAGCCCTTCAGCCAAGCTGACAGTAAATATAATATACATTTTCTTTTCAATTTGGTTTTTTGTAGGCTGTTTTATTTTATCATTATTTAAATGCTAAGTTTGATTTGAAACGCAGTGTGTACATAAATATGGTGCCAACGGATTGAGGTAAGGCTAGGAAGCTGAACGGGATTCGTTCGGTTCGATTCGTCTATTTGCCGCCGTGGACATTGCAGTATTTGCAGTCGCCGTTGATGACCACATTGCCAGGATCGGGCGACAGGGGAACGGCTAAGGAGAGAGTGAGAGAGAGAGAGAGGAGAGCGAGATTTGGGGTTAATATATGTATTAATTGTAATCTGTTTTGGGCGTCGAACACTTACCACTGGCCAGAGCCAAGAGGCCGAGCACGAAAACGGTGACAACGGAGAAGAATTTCATATTGTTGCTGGTTGTTGATTGTTCCACAAACGATTGAGTTGAACTGATGCTGTTGTTCGTCCAGCCTCGATCTTATATGGAGCTCCCAGTTACCTACAACGGGGAAATTCACAAAGTGTCAGCGTAAAGCAAATTGGGATTATCAACAAATTGAATGCATTCACTCAGACGCACTCTGTGTGCGGCACTTGATAAGCCGCACAGGGGAAATTCCCCGCTATGGGTTGGGGCTTATGTTCTTGTTATACCCATTAGGAAACAGATATGTTAAATAATATAATAAAATCAAAATAGACATGTTGATAAAAATAAAATTAAAACAAAGTGAATAAGTTCTTGTTGTAATAAATTAAAATTAATTAAGTGGGTTATTTAGTTGAAATTTGTGAATCAATCTCCTGTGCGCTTTTCGTGAGCTTGAAAATAGCTGAAGTCTTTTGATTAGTATTTATAGAGTAGTGGTCTACAGATACCCTATGTTTGTGTGTATGTGAGTATGTGAAGGTCTTCCGACTGTCTCTGTAACTCACTCTTATTTTAGTTCTTTAACTTTGTGCCTCCATTTTCCCATTCCCTGTCTCTCTGTTCCTCTATGCTTATCCAATTCTACCCCTCTTTAAATTTATGAAAATCGCATAGAAAGGCTATAGAAAGATAGTTTCTTTATTTTGCAGACTTACTCTCACTTTCTCTCTCTCTCTCTTTCTCTCTCTTGCAGCTCATTCTAACTGCCTCTCTTTCTCTCTCTCTCTCGCTCTCTTCCTCTCTCTTTCCCACCTCCTTTATTTCTTACTCTCCAAGTAAGTGCTTATGGAAATCGTCTCCAACAGGGTATTTTCCAGTCGAGAACTAATTTTACTAACTTCTCAATAAGCTTAGTGGGAAAACGTATAAGTGGCTTTCAGAGAAGCATATACTAATTAGCATATATGTATGTATTTGCCAATGAATACTACGCATTCGCAGTGCAATCTTCTGTACAAAGTTGAAACGTGTTATGAGTTCAGCTTAGCTTATACGCCGTCAAGGTATTGATAATCTGGGCAATTCCATACAATAAAACTGTATACTATATGCACCAAATACACTGAATATAATATACACAGCATTGGTGAGGGCAATCTATCAATTGCTCCAGCTCAATCTCAGTTTCAATCGCGCACGATTCTTGGCAGACGCCTCTCGTCGCCAGTATAAAAGATTCATTCCAGCGAGCACAGCTTCAGGTTGAAGCTAACGAAATGAGGTGTTTAACGCTGCTAACGTTTTTGATCTTGGCCATGCTGGCCCTCAGCGCTAAAGGTAAGACCGATCTTTCAGCTCTAAACCACAACTCACAAGGAACCAAACTTTTTCAGCTGGCAAGGTGACCATCAAGGGCGAATGCGTGGATTGCAATAGACCCGATGCGGCTACGACAACAACACGTCGACCGAGCACCGCGCATGGCGGACATGGACGCACAACCACGCCGAAGCCCAAGCCGAAGAGCCACAAGACATCATCTGAAAGTGACGAGGATTTGAGCATGGGCGACTGGAGTCTGAGCCAGGGCGCACACGGGGCACAGCACATCTCGGGTGGATCGCGCCACAAGCGGCAGCGTCAGGTGATAATAACGGATCCGGGCTTCGGTGGCGGCGGCTGGTCAGGTGGTCGTGTGACCACACTAGATTCCCGTGGACGTCCCGGCGTTCTGGTGCGCAACGATGACTGCGTTGGCTGCAACATAAACGGCTAAGGGGTGCTTCCCCTCTGGGAGCGGGCGGAAGCGGGCGGACTAAACGTGTGCTAATAAACGAACTACAGTGTTCCCCTGTTCCCCGTATTGCCAGATTGTGATTTTTATTGTTGTTGACCTTGCATTGTAAACCGGTTACAGGCACAGCTCATGGAATTTCCACTTGCATCGCGCTTTTTCCGCTGAATTCCCATTGTTATCAAAAGCCGAGCAACGTATATAAAGCTCTGCTCGGGCCAAGCGGCAGCAACAGATGCCAATTGAATTCACATTTGCAATGAAGTTATTTCTGATCTGTGCTCTGTTTGCCGCAGTCTTGGCATTGGCGGGTAAGCATTCCCGCATCCATGTGTCCACAGCTCCTTAACACGCTCCCGCTCTCGCTCTCTCTTCCTCTCTCCGCCTGCCCAGCCGGCAATGTGGTCATCAATGGCGCCTGCCGGGACTGCTCGCCGCCAGATGCAGAGACGCTGGTTGTGGGCGACAAGGTGTACAAGGGTCGGCCGGGACATGGCACCGTCTATATCAATGGGCAGGACGGCGATTTGAACGCTGTGCGCCCGCAGGCTGGCGGAGGTGGTGCACCCTTTGTGGTGCCCGAGGGCTACAGCGGCCGTGTGCCCGGCGGCTCCTTTGTGCACAATGCCGATTGCGCCGGCTGCGACATTACGGGCTGAGCCAGTTGCTCCAAATCTGTGTATTTGCATGGACTGAAATAAATGTGTGTGCTGGGCCGAGTGTCAAGTCAAGTACCAAGTGTTGTGCATTTTGTGAAGGGTGCGCCTGGGGGTGGCAGGGGGAGGGGGGCTTAAAAACAACTACTCGACCAAAATGAACAGGTCTTATATAAATAGCTACAGCAACAGCTGAAGTAGTTATGAGGCTGTCGTAGAGCAGGCTGACAGCAGTTTCGTTTGTCTGATACCCTGTAAAAATTGTTTTTAAAGGAGTATGAGTAACTGATGCTCTGGCAGGTCAATAAATGTATATGTATATAAATGTGTGTAAATTAATATGCATCGTTTTAAAAATTTGCATATGCTGCAACCGGAGCCGGATCGGACCACTATATAATGCAGCTGCCATAGGAACGATCAGTACAAATGTAGCTTCTCTACATGTATGCAAAACTTATCAAGCTCGGACTACTATATGATTGAGCTTGCATAGGAAAGATCGGTCGAAAGGTAGGTTCTTATACGAAAGGTCGGTCAAAAACTTCTTATAGGACATAATTGAGTATATATTTAATATAAATATATGTATTTTAGTTTGATTTGTTGTGGGGCACCCATAAATCTTGATCGTATGCTCCAATTGAAACTTGCTTTCTCACCCTATAGACTTAATAATAATAAATAATTTTTCAGTGCTAATAATTGAACAAATCTTATATTTGATTGACTAAGAACTGTTTAGAGGGTAGCTCCCAGTCATACAATTTACTCATTAATTTATAAATTAATTACAAAAATGTAATGCAAAGCAAATAATATTGATTTTGCCCATAATTGATGTAACACAAAACCTGAGTTGACTTTAACTGGGGGGGCTTTGTTGTTGGGGCAAGCCCCAAATCCAGTTTCCGTCGCATTTCCCAGCGTCATTCCCAGCTGGCCTTTGGCATTGTTTGCGATACGCGAATCGTTTTAAACATATTCTTGGGGATTTAATTTTTACTACAATGATACGCTAGCTGCTGGCTAGCTATAAAAGCTGTCGAGATCTTTGCGAACTTGTGCAGTCTTCAAGTATTCAAGTATTCAGCATGAAGTGGTTCTCGTTGTGCATTCTGCTGCTGGCATTTCTGGCCCTGAATGCAGCGGCGCCCGCCGGTAAGACCACTTAATAAAGACGCCTTTTGAATTTGTATATTATTATTAATATGTGTGTATATATGTTTGCTTTGCTTGCAGGTCAGATACGCGTGCGCACCTCCTCGACCAGACACGTGCGTGTGCGCAACGGCAACATCAAGTGGAACGGCGATTGCCACAATTGCGATATACGCACCACCAAAGACACGGCTCAGGTGACCAGCACCAGAAATCGGCAATGGACTAAGAAATTCTAAAAGAAAAACCTTATGTTGAAGTAGTTATAAATATGTAGTTGTAAATAGTTTTAATATTTATTTTAATGAACTAATCAAAAAGTAAATGAGTTAATTTTGAAAAGCTCATCAAATAAAGAATATTCAAATAAGTCTATGACGTGGAGTTACGGAGACCTGATGCAAGCCGAAGATTTAATACTCTTGTAGTCTTTAGCCTTGTGCAGATATGTGAGACAAGTAAAGCTCGTAAATGCTGAGTTTGATGAAAATATCATTGAAAATATAATACTTTAAGAAGAACCTACTTTTGAACCGATCTTTCCTATGGCAACTATATGATATATGAAAGAAAGACGGAGCTATGCCAAATATCAAGAGGCTAGCCTTAAAACTAAGAGACGCATAGAAACAGAGAAACGGACAGACGGACAGTAGGACGGATGGGCAGAAGGATGTACGGATAGATGGACGGAAAGAAGGACAGGTATACGAACGGACAGACAGATAGGCGGACGGGCGGACAGATAGACGGATAGACGAACAGACGGACATGACTATATCAAATCAAACCGTTGATTCGGAATATATATTTCACTATCCGATCGGAGTTATCTCCTTTTAGGCGTTACACAATTCAGGACAAACGGGCATACCCTCAACAAGGGCACAGAAATATGCGCAAAAATATGTTTGAAACTTATGTGAAGCTAGTCGTAAATCAGTTCCAGCTGCTTGCCACGCGATGGGGCAGCTTTGAGCTGCTTGGCTTAAGTATTCGAGGGAGTCATAAAAAATTGGCTTCGACTTCGACTTGGCTGTGGCTGCGGCTTGTTTTCGGTGGCGCAACTCTTTGCTGCCGGCCAATACACGTGTTTCTTGGCTACAAATTTTTATGCCGCCTTTGTCGCTGTCCTCTGCCATAAAACCAGTCATTTCCTTTGAGCAGCCTGTTTATTTATTTATTATTTTGCTTCACTTTCTTTTTTGTTCGTGTGTGTTTTTCCGGATTCGACATTCACGTTCTTCGTTTTTATTGCCCAAGCACGGAAGGGCCAACCGCTGTGCGCCTGTAAATGACTCCCCGGGCACCTTTATATTGACTCGTAAAATTGCGACATTTAGAGCCACACCCCCTCACAGCCCCTTCCCCACCCGCACTTCCGGTCGTTTGTCTTTTGTGTTGCCTGCTTTTCGGCGCCGCGACGACTTTCTTAGCGCTATTATTATTATTATTTTTTTTTTTTTCTCTCTCTTCTTATTTTAAATTTGATTTTTATTTGCCTCACAGTTGTAGCCGACTACGATTTTTATGGTCGAGTGTTTTGCTCAGAGCTCTTGGTTTTTTTTTTCTGGCGGAGGGTAGCTTAATTATGAAGTGAACTGAGTTGGAGGTAGAGCTGCCTACAAGCAACAGGGTATGCAGTAGCCGGCGAAAACCACGCAGGATTTTCTTCCCTTTTTCATAGCAAATACATTCCCATAAGCGGACAGAAACAGTGCTACGTGCTGGGCAGCTTCCCTTTAAATATATTTTTCTAAAATTATTTTAATTTGGATTTTTAGTTTTATTTTTTGCCAAATTAAAAAAAAATCTTGAAAAAAATGTGCTGCAGTTTTATTTAACATGTACACTTTTATCGTTTTTTATTTAACAGGGTATTAAATTGTTTTCTGCTGCTGCTTTGGTTGCTGCCAGCGACGGAAATTGACTTGGAAAATGCTTCAGCGTTGCTTTCGCTTCAGGATGCGAAGGCCTTTCCCCCCACCCCCCAAGTAGGGGAATTGAAAGGAGCAGTGCTCAATCGGCCACGCCCACAGAGGGCAAGCACTTAACCGTTAGCTGTTGCTATCAGCTTTAACTTTCGGTCCGATTTACACTTGACATTGTACCTATAGCCCATAGCTTTGCTTTTGTTGGGCATCCAGCTGAAACTTTATTAATTTGAAATGTACGAGTCAAGGGGCCAGGGGTGGGCGTTGGGGCGCTGCAGGCGTGGCCGAAATGATTTATTGGATTTTTGAAGAGCACTCGAGCGCACAGCTTCAATGTTAAGCGTAAACGCGTTCATAATTAATTACAGTCTATTTTTTTTCAGACATTGCGCATACGCAACGTTGCACGGACGCAAAGTGCGAGCCTTGCGGAATGTAAGTATATATATATGTATATATACTATTTTTAACATCTGCTTTATTGCTGTCATTTGAATCATATTATTTCGGCTCTTGGCTCTCTTTTTCCATTCGCTTTGTCTGGCTGCCAGTGAAAGTGACCCGCAATTTATTTAACGTTTTTATTATTTTATTCTCTCCCCCCTCTAAATGAATTTCAACCCCTTTCAACAGAGTGGTTGTTGTTGTTGACGTTGTTGTTGTTGTGCATTTAAGTGGCATTTTCTGTTGCGCAACGACCAGGATGCGAGAATGCCAGCCGAGCGTATGATATAAATTAATGAATAATTGAGAGCATTTTATGCGCTACTGTCAGGAAATGTTTATTGAAGTTTAAGGAAATGTTTAAGCTGTTGAAATTCTGCTGCACTTTAATATTACATAAATGATATTATTTTTCATTTCATGGCAACAATTCGTAAATTTTAAAGCTCAAAGTTGCATTTTAAAGCTACATAAATATTTATAATGGCATGATTTACGCTCTAAGCCTTGAAATATGAATACAAAAAATGACAAATAAAGATAAAAAATGTTTTTATTTAAATTGTGAGTATAAAATTATTTTTGCCTCCGGCATTTACATTGTGCACTTGTAATTATTTTGTTGCATACTTTTTGGAGCAATTTGTCGCACTGTTTAATTTCGCTTATTTATTGTCTGATTTATCAAAATGATAATTTTCGCATTTTATTTTGATATTATTTATGAATCAATATATTTATTAAAGGCATATTTACGGCGGATTTGCCTTTCATACAGTCAGATAATTTTGGCATGAATGCATTTTCTGAATAGAGCTCACAATAAGCGAATGTATTAATAATGCACGCTTATATTATTTGAATTATCATAATTAATGTTATTCATATTTACGCTAGCAGAGAATAATGAAATTTGTATATTAAAAAAGTAGACATTTTGAATACTTAAATTAATATATATACGTAAATTAGACAATTTGTATAATTCAAATGCTTTCATGGAGTGGAAGCATCGAACTTTTAGGGGAATACTTATATTGTGTGCTGTGCTTTCGTGAGCTTTCAAAGCTTCGTTAAGCAAAAGATATTTCCAGGGGTTAGTTTTAAACAACTTCTATAGAGTAGTATATATTGAGCTTTTATTTTAAAATGAGCTTTTAACTTTAACCGATCTGAAAGCTTTAATGTGCTTTCAAAGCTTCTTTAAGTGGCAAATAATGGCCGAGGTTGCTTTTAACAAATTACTTTAAAATAATTCACTGAGCTTTTAGCTAAATTGAGTGTAGACCATGAATATAGCTGAACTGGCTACCGTGAGCTGTCAAAGCTCTTTGCCTAGATATTTCAGTTCTTTGCATTTCATTATTGTCCTCATATTCAATTAAGTTCAGTGGGAGCGAAGTTCTTTACTTGCAAAGCAGCTGCAAGATGGGACAGAGGAGAGAAACTCAGTTCCATAAACTCCTCTTCTCTGTCCCCCGCTTCCCGGCCCCCTCCACTACAATCATTGAATGTGCTCAGCATGAAACTTACCTTGGGACTGATTTCATTTTCGTAATTACCAGAGCGTCTGTGCCTGCCCCAGCCACACTGCTGCTGCTGCTGCTGCTGCTGTTGATGTTGTTCTTGGTCAGCTGCAGGTGTCTGCAGGTGTCGGAGTTGCGGCTTAACGAGTTGATTAAATGCAGTAATTGATGAAATTGCGAACAAGAGAGAGCTTTAAAGGTGTAAATGGCTGGCTTTTGAATGCCGCCTGGCCTTTGGGGATAAACATGTCATTGTCGTTAGAGATAACTGCACAGAATTTGGATGTGTCGAATGGGGCGAGCTGCCGGTACTCTCGACTGGACTGGACAGTGCACATCAATCAAATAAGCACGAAATGCACACGTTTCATTTATAAATATTTGCGGCGAGGGTCGCACGACTTCACAAAAGGCATCAAGGCAAGGCAAGGCAGGGCAAGGCAGGGCAAGGCAGGGCAGGGCAGGGGCGGGGGACTGCTGGCAAGGGTTCGGGTTGCAGCCAAAAGGCAGAAATAAAAAATGATTTAAAAATTGAAAGGATTATGGGGCGAGCAGCAACGAAGCGCGTTAATGTTGATGCCGCCGCGGGGCACACGGCGGCCAAATAACAAAAAGGGTCGCTTGCCAGCGAACAGCACACAGAGGGAGAGAGGAGGAGAGAGTGGAGAGAGGGGGAGATAGGGAAGATCCGCCTGAATATACATATAGATATATATACTCGTTGGTGTCGCTGTCAGTCAAACAAAACTGTGCAAAAATCAACGAGGCAATGCGAAACAAAAACCCATGCTGAAGGTTGATGCCGGAAAGGGCAATAGGGGAACAGGGGGAGGGGGGAAGGGGGAGGGGCGTGTGTGTGTGGGTTGAGGAAACGTGCACACGGAGGCCAACGTTGTTGATGGTCAACAATATAATTTGAACAGGAATGAAAAATAAACGCGCCAAAACTGGGCGGGCCCCATGGAATCTGCAGCTCCTCTGTCAGCCTGTGTGTGTGTGTGTGTGTATGTGTGTGTGAGTGTGTGTGTGTGTTTGTGTGTTTTTTATAGTACACATTTCAATAGCTCTATGTTACGCCCCGCAGGGACAACAGCAGAACAAAGAAAAAAGAATCGTGCAACTTTTGTATAAATCAAATCAAATATGTGAACAAAATGTTTTCGCAGTTGTCGCCGAACGTTTGGAGACGAATGTGCGAACAAATCAGCTTTGATGATAACTTTGCAGATATTACGAAATATTATTTGATACAGTGGATGCGATCTGAAAAGGAGGAAAAACTATTATGTTAGCTAGCTATAGGCATGAATATAAATATATATATATAAAATATATAATAATAATAATTAAATAATATAAATATATTAATATAGATAATATAAATAATATAAAATAATATAAAATATATATATGAATATTAATGTCTTCAAAGTAGAAATTAATTGCAAACGGGAATGTTTTTATCCATTACATAAAAATCTTATTCAATATTTTAAC